CTCTTCCAAATTGCACACAAGCCACTCAACTGAAGCTATAGCTGTCAGATTCAAGGCCGCCTTGCCTTTGGCAGACTGCTTCGCCAGGTGTTCACAATGTCTGAACACGTATAAGACTTCTAGTTGAGAAAGCCATGTTAATCCTAAGTCTCTGCTATGACTGGGGGACGTGGGTGACCGATAGAAAACAGCAGCATTTTCTTTGGAAAATCCACAACAAAACATGGAGGGAATCGATTACCTCAGTTATGCCAACTCCTTTAGAATTGAGGCCCGGATTATCTAGCACAAGTTGAGGCAAAGTGGGCACTGTGTGCACATGTCTGATGTATTTTTACTAAAACGGATACCTGCCCAACTCACCAAAGGAGAAAGGAAACAGGGAGGCCAAAAAGAATAGATTAGAGCAGTGTTTCTCAACCTTTTATTAAAAAAAAAAATTATAAGTTCCCCCCTTAAAAAATAAGTACCCCCCAGTACCTACAGTTTTTAGACACACACAGTTTTTTTTCTACCATTGCAACACATTTGTTTAAACCACTTAATTGTAGCTGGGCGGGTGATGAAATTTTTGGGTGTAAAAAGTACAAAAATAATAAAGTGCTATAAAACTTAAAACAAAAATTCAGTTTTCTCCAGATTTTATTTGTGTTGACATACCCTCTCAGACTTCTCTCGAGTACTCCTAAGGGTACTCCTACCACTGGTTGAGAAAAATTGGTTTAGAGCAGTGTTTCTCAACTTATTTTTTTAATTAAAGTACCCCTAATGCAACCATCCCTCCTCCAGAGCCAGGCATCCCCAGCCCCCCTGCTCTAACCTAATGCCTCTCCTCCCCCAGAACTCCCCTCCCCTCACCCAATGCCCCTCCCCCAGAGCCAGGCACCCCCAGCCGCCCCCACTGTAACCCAGTCCCTCTCCCCCTTCTGCAGAGCCAGGTGCCGGAGGTATGGGTAACCCTACCTTTAAAGTGGCTGCTCCTGCCTCCTGGCCCTGCCTTGGAGGCTTGATTGCACAAGGAGCACATGGCCGGAAAGTGCTGGTGTAATGTAGAAAGCTGCTACCTTATAGAAATGTGCTACCAGTAGCATTTTCGTATTTGTACAATCGTAAGGAAATGTTCCTGTAGGAAACTGCTACCAGAAGTAGCACAATCCTACAGGGAGCAGTTCCATATAGTACTACATTACACCAGGTTCACCGCTCGCCGCGACTCATGGGACTGTGTACTCTACTTCCACCCCAGCCCGGTGCCCTCCTAGCATGGCACCTAGGGGCAACTGTCCCTCTTGCAGTTCCCCCTCTACGCCTCTGATTAAGGTCCCTCATGAGAACCAGGGCCTATGATCTGGAAGCTTCTCTTAGTTGTCTGAAGAAAGCCTTGTCTACCTCGTCCACCTGATCTGTAGGGTTGCCAGATGGTTTCAACAAAAATACCAGACACACTTGACATTCCATCACAATCTACATTACATCTTATTTAGAAAATACAAGACATTTATATTTTCTCATTTATATTTTCTCAATTTGTTTCCCGAACAGAAAGCTCAAATACTGGTCTGTCCATTTCAAATTGGACACCTGGCAACCCTACTGATGGTCTATAGCAGACACCAGCTACATCACCCCTCTTGCTCCCGCCTCTAAGCTTAACCCAAAGACTCTCAACCGGCTTTTCTCCCTCTATATACTGGAGCTCTGAGCAATCATACTGCTCTCTTACGTACAGTGCAACTCCTCCTCCTTTTCTCCCCTGCCTGTTGTTCCTGAACAGTTTATACCCTTCCAAGACAGAGCTCCAGTCATGTGAATCATCCCACCAAGTCTCCGTTATTCCAATCAAATCATAGTTCTTCGACTGTGCCAGGACTTCTAATTCTTTCTGATTGTTTCTCAGGCTTCCGAAATGTATAGATTGGTCTTTTTCAAAGGCACAAAGCGCAGTTAAGCACTCCACTCTCACAGGAAATTAATTGGCACGGATGTTTAGTCTGTCTTCTGTGTCCTTATAAGCTAAGTTTTTCAAAGTTTAAATATTTTAAAATAAAAAAGCCATGAGCTCCAGATTCTGGAAATTAGATGTCTGATCCAACAAGCTCTTCTTGATGTGAGGAATCCCATTGGCTTTATTGGGGCTAATTGCATAAATTAATGTCTGTAAGATTGGTCCAGAGTGTTGGAATACGCAGGGCTCGATAAATCACTGAATCTATTTGCCTGTGGCAAGTAGATTTCAGCCGGTCGCCCCGTTCACCGGCAGCCCATACATGCACAATGCAGGTCTTACGCATGCACAGTGTGGGGCTGGCAAGTAGGTTTTGCTGCCGTTTGTCAAGCCCTGGCAATAGGAAATAAAGCATATGATTTTTTGGGGGGAGGAGGTTTTACAAAATATCAAGGTGAACAGCCATGGTTATATAAAAGTTATCTTTATGGGAGCTGCCTGTCTGTGGAGTGAAAGTGAAATTATTTTGCTTTGCATTCCCTTTTCCTACAAATATTTTTGTAAACTCTCATCAGTTGACTCTGGCTTCAGTTCCTGAGAACACTGGGGATATGCTTTGGAAACTTGCATTCTTACCATCTAAATTCTTAACTGGTTGTTTGGAAAAGAATTTTCAAAATTAAGGCCTCAGCTCTTCAATTAGATCCAGCATACCTTTGAGCCTGCATGGAGTTCAAGGGTCTGCCCACATGGCTCTAATTGCAATATTGGCCCAAAGCCCCTAATCCTGCCAACAACTATGTGTGTGCTTGCTTAATTAAGGTTGAACTTCAAATTAAATTATAAATATTTGCACGATTTGGGACCTAAATTGGTAGTCTTGAATAACTTGCGACTTACCGAATATCTTTGTTTTTTGACATTCCTATAACCAGTGTGGAAGGTATCCATATAACTAAATTCCTGTACATATGTGAACTCCCAAGATTCTTGTGGCATTTCTATTTAGCTGCACTTAGACTTTGTTTTATGTAACAACCGGATTACAATAGGAGTGAATGCATTCCTTTCTATATTATGTAATTGCTAACTCCTTTTAAATACATGTTCCTTCTCTTAATTTTTATTCAGAAGCTTAGTAAATTTTAGTAAAATAAATGCTAGTTTAACTTTGTTAGAAATGCAGCCGTGACTGAGGCTATTACACTATTTGATTATTAATTATTGGAGCAGAGAGGAGCAATGGCCAGCCTCTGGGATTCATACTTGTTTCTGGATCAGGAAGGGACTGATGACTTCTAATAAACATACATTTGAATGGATAATTCAGTTTCTTTTTAAAACCCTAGAATAGTACAAAAACGTGGGTTGGCCTCCACCTGCTGTACACCCTCAGCTTTCATTGGCAAATGATATACACAGAACGTGTACACAGAACATGACTTCTTAAAAAAGCAAAGTGTGGCTAAATGAGACAGTTTCCCTGCTTTTTTTTATAGTGCATGGTTAGGAAGATGATCATTTCCTAAATGATATTAGCTCTATGGTGTTCCATAAAAATCTGTGCTCTACCTTGTCTCAAGGTACTTCACCGCCCACGTGAAAGCTGAAGCCAAATAGTTCATTTGTTTAGAGACACTGAGCTGTTTTCCAGACATTCACATTTCTTTATTTTAATGATGTCCAGGTGTCTGAGACATGTCCCAAGCCTGTTCTTGCATAACTGGTATAACTTTAAAAAAATCTGAGGGACTAAAATCACATAGATAATCTGTGGTGTCTACAGAGCCTGCTCTACTCTAAGCTGCTTCACAGGGGTGTCCGGCTGATGCTCTACAAGGCTGTTGGGAGTAAAATACAAACAAATGGAAGGGGTGATGTTAAACCTTGTTGTCAAACAGCACAGTGTGATTGTTACTAGCTGGCAGGAGAGCTGGTTCTGCAGGTTGAGGGGATGTGCACTTGTACTCTCTCTTACCACCCAAACTCCGCAGGGGCCCCTGGAGTCAGTTAGCTCTGGAGACTCTGAAAAGTCCTTTGTCTGTGCTTTGACGTTGAGTTTGTTTTTGTTGAAAAGCGACTCAAAGGAAATGTTGGTGTTTGGCACATGTTGTTGTTGTTCCCTATTGCATGAGGTCTATGATTACAATGTATTTTTCATAAACTGATTTTGCCATGTCTTAGGAAAACCTGTTCTTCAGAAGACTGTGCCCAACCTTTCTGATAATATGGAATGCTAACATTTCCTTTGTGACCTCCATATTAACACGTCTCCACAGGTGGTGGCCTGCTTTATGTCATTAGCCTCTAGACTGGTATAGTTGTCCTGCCTAATATGTCCTTCTTTTCAATACGTTGACAAGACAGTAGAATCTAGTTCTATGATTTCCCCTTCTTCCAGCCTTTGCTTGTGTTCCTCTTTGGACCCCACTACACTGTCTTTGCAGACACCAGAGGAATGATGTGACATAAAGCTACACTTCCTGGATTCAGTGGAGAACTTGTAATTTCTACTGTTTAGCATGACTTGCTCTTGTGGATCTGATAGGAGACTATCTCTTTAGGGCTTGGGAGAGGAAGGGAGGGGAACACATTAGTAGTATGGCATAGCTCATTAGTTTCCATTCTTGGGAAGAAGAGGTGTTGCAAATTGCTCAGACGTTAAACTGCCTCATCCTGGAGGAATGAAGTTCCATTCTAGCTCACATGGACAGGCAGCATGATCTTATTTTAGTGCATGTTGTTATCTAAATACATGAAGCATTAAAATCTAGCATTTGCTTATGATCTCAGAAGATAGAAAGTTGCACTTTTAAAATTGAGTGTGAAATCCATTTGTGATAAATGTGCCAGACTTCCATATTATCAAAGTAACTTCACATCGTCTCAGATATGACATATAAGGACTTGTAATAATAAAAACTCTCTTTAAAGGCTGAAGTCTGGAATATTTCCATCACATTCTGCTATAGTAGGATCCTGTAGCTGGTCAGCTGTATAAAATAAAATGTTCACTATTTTTGTTTGGGTTTTTTTTTTGTTTGTTTGTTTGCAGAACGAGAAAAGACTAAATGTCAGCGTGAACAAGAAGATGCTTTGGCCAGTGGAAGCTCTTCCTACCAGCAAGTGCCCAGACCCATTGGTCAGTTTGTTCCTCAGTGTGATGATCATGGGAATTATCAGCCAACTCAATGCCATTCTAGCTCTGGCTATTGTTGGTGTGTGGATAGGAATGGTAATGAGATTGATGGAACCAGAACTGGGCCAGGAATCCAACCCCCATGTAAGTTGCTCAAAGATTTGCCTCTTCTGTGAGAATCTTTTAAATTGTTGCAGCATCTATTTTTCAATAGATTCTGGTATGCCATGCAGGTGCAGCACTGGATTGGAGTATGGCAGAAGTGTATTTTCTCTATGGGAGCATGACCATTGCTAAACCTCCTGAGAGGCTATAATATACTCTATTCCTCTGTCCGGTGTGAGAAAAATTCAGAAGCTGTAAAATGTTGTACTACTTTTCTTGTTACTATTCATTTATTTCTGTTTCTTTCTAAGATGTGTGTCTGTAATTACGCATTGTTGTTGATAATGGCTGGATTTGTTTCATTTGTGTTAACTAACTTTTTCATCTTCTTTTCATTATCTGTTACCAAGGTCTGAGTACAGCTGCTCCTCCTGTTGTGATTGGGCCCTCAGTTCGACCAGATTCAATTCCTCTGCCCCCAGGAACACACTTGCTGTTTGCCCAAAGTGGGAAGATCGAACATGTCCCCCTGGTGGAAAATAGTATGAAGAAAACTGATGCAAAAGCTTTACTGCATGTTCCAGTAAGTATCTATTATACCTTCTCTAGCCACTGGTGATTGGGGGGGAAATGTTCTCTTGATCACTGAAGAGACGGATTTTAGACATGGTTTAGAGGGAGAAACCCTCTCAAATCTCCTTATGTTTGTATGTGGGAGCACCTTACCTCCATACTCCCGGTTTTCATCGGCTTTCACTCTACTGTAGCTTCCAGTATAAAATGCCATATTATTCTCAAAGATCTTCCATGGAGCTTGTTTTTTTTTTCTCCTCCTCTTATCTGTCTCAATTTCATCCTTTTCTTCAGTCAGTTCCCTAACCACCTCAGATGTCAAACTTGTCTGTACCCTGTCTCGAGGTTTGGTCCCAGTGAGTGGTAAATCTTTTCCCCACACTCTTCCCTACTGTCTGAAAAAAGCCTCTTCTTTTAAATAACTCCTGGATACTTTTCAAATCCCATCCTCTTTTCCCTGGCCTGTGACCCTTAACTCTATTTAATGATACAAACAGACTCTTAGAACTCCCAAATGTCAATACATTACTTTGTTCTCCCTGACACTTGGCATTACCCTTTTGTTCCAGCCTCACTGTATTTAGAGTGGCTATCAGTTCCAGGAGATGTAACTGTCATACTTTTGTATTTATTGGGTACTATTTGTAGGCTAAATTCTGATCTGCGTTGTACTGGTGCAACTCAGTGAATAATGTCAGTGAGGATTGCCCTAATGTAAGAGTGGAATTGAGCCCACTGTCTCTTTTGTGAAGATTCTATTCAGAAATTAATTGATGTTGTAGATCAGACCAAGTGCAAATTTGGCTCATTCTGTCTGGTCTGGAAAAAAAAATTAAAAAGAGTAACTCCAGTGAAGTCCTTCATAGAAAAGATTAACTCTTAGTTTAATCATTAATGAAACTTGTACCTACCTTTTTCCTTTATGCTGCTAAGAGCTGTGATTGATATCAATGTATATATATATTAGAGGGTTGTGTGATTGTCTGTCTAAGTCCATCCATCCATGAGTCTGTTTGTTCAAGAATGCCTTCTATATTGTAAGAGCTTAGATCACTAAATTTGATGTGCAGCTTTCTCTTATCCTAGCTTTAAGCAAGGTCAGGGTTTAGTTGTGCCAGGAAAATGGGATGTTCCTGGAAGGGGATTATTGTTTTCCATAACACAGAAAGGGAGGAAGTTGATAGGAGGGTCACTTATAATGTAGAGTGACCACAGGGGGCGGCCACACTAAGAAGAAAGTGGCCAGGTGGGATCGGGACGCTCCAGTGTTGCCAGCCACCGGACTAGCTAAGTGGTCCCTCCGCCCAGCCCTTGGTTGCAGCGCTCCCCCGTGAGTCAGCAGCACCACCACCCTGGAGGAGTCACAGACCTAAGGATCTTAATTTGCAATTATCTGGCTAATCATGTACTTGATACAATTTGTATCAACTACACGATTAGTTGATAAAAGGCCGCTCCGCAGAATTACAGAGGGGGTAGCTGAGCAGTCCCAGCTCGTGCCAGCTCCGGGCACCACCCACACTATGGCTCTGCATTTTAAATGTAGTAAGAGCCACTAGGCAGAGGTCGAGGCCAGCAGCCCCTGTTCGTGGAGGCCAGGGCTAGCCATGGCCAGGGGCTGCTGCTGGAGCAGCTCCTGTGCACAGCCAGCCCTGCTGCCTCTGAGAGAAGCAGCATGGTGGGGGACAGGCAGCACTGCAGAGATGGTGCTGGGTGAAACACGCTTTTAAGATGTCTCCCCCCAACACCAGCTCCTGTTTCCTAACTCCTTGCTTCCTCTCATACAGAGGCAGCAAGGGGGAGGGGAAGCGAGTAGTCGAGTACTCCATTCAACTTATTTAGTTGTCTTATTTAGTATATAAAAGCAGTATGTTGCAACATGTAATCATGCTGATCATCCATGACCTCTAGTTTGAATGCATGGTCAAGAACACCATGCATAAATAATCTCATTTTAATGGATGTTTTTTAAATGGCTTGTTAAGAATTGCTGGACTCCTTGTACTCTTCCATTCTGCCAGAATCTGATCTTCCTAAAACATCAAAAAAGGTAGACTCAGGAATCCATACAAAATGGATCAGCCTAAAAGTCCAATCCAGTTGCTATGATAAGGATATCTCAAATCCAAATGTGTACTCTTCAGGTTCTGCTTTCTTTTGCAATAGCTTCTTAAATCTTTCCTGCTTGTCCACTGAATAGCTAGGAAAGAGAAAAGGTAATGGTTCATTTAAAGAATAGTTCGTGTGTTTAAAATACAGTTTTAATTTAATACAATACACATTAATATAATACCATTCATACAAAGCAGTTCACAAATTACAAATACAACCACCTTGGTTCTGTGGTTTAGTGGCAGGCAGCAACTAAATATTGCATACCACACATTATAGGAATGAAGGGTATAGGAGGAAGAGAACCGACTTAGTTTAAGGGCTGCCTGGGAGCCCCAGCATTGGGAGAGTAGATTGTGGGGACATCGTTAGAGGCCCCTAGCACTTAACTGAGTGAGGAGTGGATGCATGGTGTCTTGTAGACAGGATGAGGAGATGGTGCATGGGAGTGTGGGTGGCACTCATAGTACAATGTGGGTACATGGAAGAAAGGCATGATGCTGGGGCAGTGGTGATGTCTAGTGGTGATGTCTAGCAGTGGGCATAGATACTTTGGGAAGAGGCGGTGTGAACAATGGGTGGAAGAAGTGTAGTTAGTTGCATGGTATATTGTTGGCCGCGTGTTCCAGAATCTAGTGGCAGTGCATGTGATGGGTGTGAGCAACTATTGGATGTAAGAGAAAGATTAAAATGTTAAGATAACAGAAGGAAAGAAAGATGGGACAGTTAGAAGTTGAGGAAGGAGGAAGGTGAGAGGAAAAATGAGTGACAAAGAGGTATTTACGAAGAATGTGGAGAAAAGAGATAAGGAAAAACTGTAAAATATGGAAGGAAATATCAGGCTTCATGGAAAAAAATAATAAAATGGGGGGTGAAGACAAGGAGAAATAAGTAAAAGACAGAGTCTTCATTAGTCACTGAAGTTGTCATCAAAATAAACAAAACAAAAGTGCATGGCATGTAATGTTGTATGCAAAGGAGACTTTTGGAGCTATCCACAAAATGCAGCACCCAGTAGGTTCCATGTAGGCAACAGAATTGGAAATGATTAATTAAAGGTCTGTTTAAATAAAGGAGTTTTGTTTTGTGGACTACTGAAAAGAAAATTAACTGCTTCATCAGCTGCTGTAACTCTTCTCTTCCGGTGCCCACCTCCCACCTGCCTCTGTAGCTCTCCTCCGTGCTCAGAACCCAGCAGGGCCCCTCTGTTCATTTGCCTGCTGGCCCCTTATTCTTAACTCTGGCCCTAATACAGTTGGATGCCTAGGCCCCCTAAGCCACTCTTTCTAGGTTTAGAACTGTTGCACTATGGGGCTGTAATAATTCACTTGTTGACTTACAGGACAGAGTTGTTATTGGAGTGGCATATGACTGCGTGGAAAAGATGGTTTACTGGACGGAGATCAGTGGCCCTTCCATCAGTAGAGCCAGTTTGCATGGTGGGGAGCCTACAACCATCATCAGCACAGGTAGCATGATCAGTTTCTGCTTCATCGGTTTCTTTCCAGCTGTAAATGTGAAGACATGCATACGCCAACATGCACTTGCTATCCAATGTCTCAACCTGGCTGCTGCAAAGCTTGATTGTTAAAAAGAGCTCAAAGTGGCAGAAATGTAAGTGATGCGATAATTTTAGGTTTTAAAAATCTTTACTTTTGAAAACCTTTTTCATGGAGCTAGGCACTGAACAAACAGGGCAAAAACTCAGTCCCTGTCCCAAGGAACTTACAATCTCTGTATAAAGTGTATGGCAACAAGTGAATACATCAGATATGTTAGGGGGAACACAAGATAACAGGGAGATGACTATGATCTGAGTAAATAACAATCACCTCACATCACCTGCCTACCCATTGTTGAGTTTTGTGTAGTTGTCACAGCTGGAGGGATTTCAAAGATGAAGAAAGCTTTCCTAATGGTTCTGCAATTACAATAGTTAGGACAGGTCCCCAGACATTTGTTGTCATAGGTAGGGCTGTTGAATAGCACCATAAACCACCTTTCCACAAACTTTCATCATGAAATACAAAGGGTTGTTCAGCAGTCATAGTGCTAAACTGTGCTCGTATTTTTGTAAGTAGCAAAACAAACCTCATACCTATTAAGTTATATAACACAGATTTAGGAAAGAAAGTTAATTTAGCAAAATAGCACAGTCACATTTACAATTTTATTTTTTTGCATATCTGCTTAAGAAACAAGAAAAGCTAAAGTATCTCCATTAGAGGGGTTATTTCTTTTGGAAATGAAGGGTGCCTCATTCTCTTGTTTGAGATCAATGCCAGTTTGGGCTAAATTCAGACTCGTGCAGGACCCAGACCAAATCAGCCTGAGCCTGTGTTTTTAACCTGCCAGGAGGTGCTCCCCTCCAGCTCTGTCCATGCCCTGCCCCCACTCCAATGCCACACCCTTGCCTTCTTCTTGCCCCACCTCTTCCTATCCAGTCCCCTGAGCCCACTCCCTTGAGCATGCTGCTTTCTCGCTCTACCCTCTTCCCCGTACCTCCTAATGCCACAAAACAGCTGACCCATGGGAAGCTGTAGGCACTGGGAGGGAGGAGGAGATGCTGATCCGTAGGGCCTGCTGGTGGGCAGGAGACTGGTGACAGGGAGAGGGTTTGATACAGGGATCCCTGGTGGGTGCTGAGCACCCCATTTTTTTTTCTGACAGTGGGCCATGTTTTGGCCGCCCCATTGTAGAGCTGTACTGGCAACCAGGGAGCTTTGTGAACAGGGGCAGCTAACAGGGAGTTTCGAGAGGGAGTTCTCCAGGTGACGGAGGAGTGAATATGGGACCCTAGAGGTAAGTGGCTGTCTGTAGTGTGTGTTTGTGTTTGGGGGTTACTTGCTAGTTGCCTGAAAGAAACTGTGTGCTGAGCTTGTGTTTGTGTCTCTGTCTGTTTGTTTGGAGATTCAAGTACTGAGCTGAGGTACGTACTGAGGTACATAGATGAGGCTTTCAGGGAAACTGTAGAACTGTCCCACCTCCGGTCAGACAGCCCCTTTGCTGTTAAGGAGGATGAAAGGCTCAGGGAAGGAGAACATTCAACTGGAGCAGAGGGAAATGATCGTATAGTTGGGACCCTCCTTCCAGAGGATATTATGGTAGCCTCTCTCACTGAGGATACATCTCCAGGGGAAGAAGGCAGGTGTTAGTAATGGGGGATTCGATCATTAGAAACATAGACAGCTGCGTTTGTAATGACTGGAAGAACCTTATGGTGACTTGCCTGCCTGGTGCGAAGGTTGCAGATCTCTTGAGGCATCTAGATAGTCTTGTGTGTATTGCTGGGGAGGAGCCGGTGGTCATGGTACATGTAGGTACCAATGACAAAGAGAAGGGTAGGTGAGAGGTTCTGGAGGCCAAATTTAGGCTGCTAAGAAAGAATTGAAATCTAGGACCTCTATGGTAGCGTTCTCTGAAATGTTTCCAGTTCCACACGCAGGGCCAGGTGGGCAGGCAGAGCTTCAGAGTCTCAATGCATGGATGAGACGATAGAGTAGCAAGGAGGGGTTTAGATTTAATAGGAATTGGGGAAACTTTTGGAATAGGGAGAGCATATACAGGAAGGATGGGCTCCACCTAAACCAAAATGGAACCAGACGGCTGGTACTTAACATTAAAAAGGTTGTAGAGCAGTTTTAAAACTAAGGGCTGGGGGAAAGCCAACAGGTGCAGAGGAGCACATGGATCAGACAGAGACATTAGGGGAGGTTCTATTAAGACAGATGCTCTATGCTCTAGTCAGGAGGAGAGGATGGAAGTATAGGTCGGATCAGATGAGACACCATCAAATAAAAGAGTCTAACACATCAAGAAATGGCAGACAGCTAAATAGTGATGAATTATTAAAGTGCTTATACACAAATGCTAGATGTCTAAATAATAAAATGGGTGAACTAGAGTGCCTAGTTTTAAAGTAGGATATTGATACAATAGGCATCATGGAAACTTGGAGGAATGAGGAAAATCAATGGGACACAGTCATACCAGGGTACAAACAATATCGGAAAGACAGAACTGGTCAGGCTGGTGGGAGGTGGCACTATACATGAAGGAAAATGTAGAATCAAAGTAAAATTCTTAAATGAGACAAAATGTTCCATAGAATCTCTATAGTAATTCCATGCTCCAATAATAAGAATATAGCAGTAGGGATATATTATCAACCACCTGATCATGACAGTGATAGTGACAATGAAATGCAAAGGGAGATTAGAGAGGCTATCAAATTAAAAAACTGGATCATAGTGGGGGATTTCAACTATCCCCATATTGACTGGGTACACATTACTTCAGGATGGGATGCAAAGATGAAATTTCTTGATACCTTCTGGGTATGTCTAGACCAGTGGTCCCCAACCATTCGAAGCTGCCGGGCGCCAGGGGGTGTGCCCATTCGCCTGCTGGGCGCCAGAGGGCGGGGACACTCGTGCACCCGGGGGCGGGGCCGCGCATACGCCACATCCCCATAAGCCACGTGCCTGGGGCCAGCAACCCTATGCGCCGCGTGGCCACGGACGGGGCCGCCCATTTGCAGCAAGCCTGGGGCCAGTGTCCTGCAGAGCCACGTGCCCAAAGCCGGCACACACACACACACCCCGCCCGCATAGCTGCGTGCCTGGGGGCGTGGATGCCAATTTTCCGCACTCCCGGGGCTGGTGCCCCCCATACCCGCGCTCCTGGGGCTGGTGCTCCCCATAGCCATGCTCCCGGGGCCAGCGCCCCCCATAGCCACACACCTAGGGCGCAGGCAGCCAATTCGCCGCGCTCCTGGAGCCGGCGCTCCCCATGCACCATGAGCCAGAGGCCGACTCCAGCACCGCACATGCGCTTCGTGCCCAGGGCGGGACCAGCCCTCAGCACTTGGCGGACACACACAAATGCCCCCGCGGGCGCCATGGCGCCCATGGGCACAGTGTTGGGGAACACTGGTCTAGACTACATGCCTATGCCGACAGAGGCATGTAAAATAGGCTACCCGACGTAGTCAATGAAGCGGGGATTAAGTATCCCTAGCTTCATTAAAATAAAAATGGCCGCCATGCTGTGCTGGCTCAGCTGATCATCGGCACAGCACGCAAGTCAAGATGCGGATCAGTCGACACAGGAAGCCTTTGTTGACAGCTCCCTTATGCCTCGTGAACGAGGTTTACAGGAGCGGTTGACAAAGGCTTTCCCTGTTGACCGATCTGCATCTTGACTTGCGCACTGTGCTGACGATCAGCTGAGCCAGCACAGCGTAGCGGCCATTTTTATTTTAATGAAGCCGGGGATATTTAAATCCCCGCTTCATTGACTATGTCGGGTAGCCTATTTTACATGCTTCTGTCAGCATAGGCATGTAGTCTAGACATACCCTATATGTTTACATTTAATTGTGAAACTGAAGACCACCATGCAACATGATGTGGCAGATATTGGACTAACAGGAATTCTCTGCTTTGCCACTGACTTACTGCATAACATTGAGCAAGTCACTTCTACCTCTCTGTGCTTGTTTTCCATCCCACTTGTTGTCCGTTAGCTTTTTATGGCCGGTATTGTCCACTGTGCTGTTCCTATATACAGTTCCTATATGTGCTGTTCCTATATACAGTGTGGCCTCAGTCTTGATGGGAGTGTCCAGGAGCACTTTTATGCTACTAATGATAATGAAGATACAAAAAACCAGAAGACAGTTTTATTCAAACCATGAATGCATTCCATAGCTTTAATAGCATCCTAGATCTACAGTATTGCAGGAACATCTGGTAACCTAGACCAACCTCTATAATTCTGATGCATCCTGATTTTTGAGAGATCATCATCGAGAAATGAAATAAATTCCAAGCTAAGACACACATTCGTTGTTGGCATGTTCCTATATTCCACCTTGCCATAGAACTGAACTTGGGCTGACCATACATCAGAGATGGGGACTTGTGGAAGATAGGAAGTCATAGTCAATCTGGAAAGGGCCTCAAATTTCCTTCAAACATCCCAGCTGTCAACTGTACTTTACTGGAAACCATAATATTCATAGCATCATGTTTACTGCATTATTGTGGTCAATGGCTAGGAGATATCCCCAGATTAGAAACTCTCATGGGGTATGTCTACACAGCAAAGTTATTTTGAAATAACAGCTGTTATTTCAAAATAACTTTGCTGTGTAGACATACCCCATGAGAGTTTCTAATCTGGGGATATCTCCTAGCCATTGACCACAATAATGCAGTAAACATGATGCTATGAATATTATGGTTTCCAGTAAAGTACAGTTGACAGCTGGGATGTTTGAAGGAAATTTGAGGCCCTTTCCAGATTGACTATGACTTCCTATCTTCCACAAGTCCCCATCTCTGATGTATGGTCAGCCCAAGTTCAGTTCTATGGCAAGGTGGAATATAGGAACATGCCAACAACGAATGTGTGTCTTAGCTTGGAATTTATTTCATTTCTCGATGATGATCTCTCAAAAATCAGG